AGGACACCCTTGGCCCATATTACTTCATCAGCTTTTTAAAAATTTTCTATCTCTGTGTTTTTAGCTTTTTAAAACTTACTTTCATTTTATTTGAAAGGTAAATACACATACACACAGAGTTCCTTTATCCAAACGTTCTCTCCAAATGCCCACAATAGCCATGGTTTGGCCAGGTCAAAGCCGAGAGTCTGAAACTCAGTCTGATTCTTCCAGATGGGTGGCAGGGACCCAAGTCTTTGAACCATCATCTGCCGCCTCTAAGGATGCAAATCAAAAAGAAACTAGATTGGAGATGAAGGAGCTGGGACTCAAACCAGGCACTTGGATATGGAATGTGGGGCATCCCAACCAAATCACTGCATGAAATACCTGCCCCTTTTGTTTTGGAAAATCATAATATCACTGCCTTATTCTCTCACATAAACAGAAAAACAAATGAAAACCTGTGACTGCTAGGGATTCAAGAAACTGCTTCACATTCTATTTTCCAAATTTCAATTTACATCTGTCTGGTCTCACTAAATAAACTATGATATCTTTTAGAACTAAACCACATTTTTTTTTTTGTATCCAATTCCTTAACTCTTACTATAGTATCTGATACCAAAATATATGCAAGACAGTTTTTTATACAATTTAATAAACAAATAAACTGAGCCAATCCAAGACCAGGAGCTTCTTCTGGATCTCCCACAAGAGTGCATACCTGTCCTCTGCTGCTTTCCAGTTTATAAGCAAGGAGCTTGATAGGAAGTAGAGCAGCTGGGACATGAACCGGTACCCATATGAGATGCTGGCTCTGCAAGGTGCAAGATTAGCCTGTTGAGCTACCACTCAATAGATGCTTGTAGACAATCTGATGTGTTATTTCATGTCTTCATCAAATTTGGGAAGTTTTTTCTTAAGATTTCATTTATTTTTATTGCAAAATCAGATATACAGAGAGGGGTGAGAAAGAGGAAGATTGTCTGTCCAGTGATTTACTCCCCAAGTGACCACAATGGCAGAAACTGGTCTGATCCGAAGCCAGGAGCCAGGAACTCTTTCAGGTCTCCCACACAAGTTCAGGGTCCAAAGGCTTTGGGCCATCCTTGACTGCTTTCCCAGGCCACAAGCAGGGAGCTGGATGGGAAGTGGAGCTGGCAGGGTTAGAAACAGCACCCATCTGGGATCCCAGCGTGTACAAGGCAAGGACTTTTGGCTGCTAGACCACCACGCTGGGCCCAAATTTGGGAAGTTTCGACAATAACTTTTTACTTTCTGTTCTCTATGCTAGACCATTTCAGTAACTTTATTTTCAGGTTCACTGAGTTTTCTGTCTGCTTAAAATCACCACTTAACTCCTTTAAATGAATTGTTTTAGCGCCACAATTTCCTTTTGAATTATATCAAAGATGGGCTTTTTTTTTCAGAAATTTTTTTATATATAGATGAGTCATGGTTTCCTGTGGACTTTTTTTTTTTTTGGTATGCTTTGTAATTTTCATGATGACGTGGGCTTCTTAATAAATATTATGTTGTAATTCCAAAAATTAGAATCCCCCTTCATCAGGGATTGCTAATTGTTCCTTATTGAGAATTAAAAGCTTAATGAATTTTGCTACATACTGACTTTGCAAATTATGTTCACAAAACGTGTATTTCTTGTTTTGTGTGTGGTCACTGAAGTTTCTGGTCCAGTATCTCTGAGAACAAAGATATTTAAGGTTTCAACTCACGAAGTAAACGTAACAGTTATAAGGATAAGTACTGCTACAGCCAGTTTTAGGTGCAATGACTAAATGCAACAGATTGGGTAGCTTAGCAACTGAAATCTATTTTCTGACAATTCTGGAAGGCTGAATGAAGTCTTACATCAGGATGTCACTATGCTTGGTTACTCGGGATTCCTGCTTATGTTACAAATGGCCATCTTCTAACTAGGTGTTCCTATACCTTCTTCGTGTTAAGCAAGGAGCTGGGGAGAGACAAGAAGGAAGGGAGTGACAGAGAACAGACAGAGCCAGCAAAGTCTTTATATGAAGCAAAAAATGACAAGATCAAATGAGAAATAGTTTTCAAAGAGTAACTGGAGGTCTCAGTTCATTACTATGAATAATGGACAGAATAATGAGGCAGAGCAATAATAAAATAGATGACCGGTGAAAGCTAACAGAAGCATATACAATACACTATCTGCAAACAAGAGAATACCCATTTTCCTCTCAGCATACACGGATTACAGGTCAGGCCACAAAAAAAGTCTCAATATATAAAAACATTCAAAAAACATTCCAAGTATCTTTACAAATCAAAATAGAATGAAAATGGAAATACCAACATAAAAGCTGGGTTTAATAAAAAAAAAAAACACTAAAACAATTACTTTAATGTTCTCCATTTTTATTATGAAATAGCTTAAACAAAGGTACAAAGCATGAGGACCAACGCATATCAGCACAATCAATCTCATCAAACCATAGGAAGTGGTTATATTTATTTACTAAAGGTTATATTTAGAAGGAAGAGAGAATTTCATTTGTTGAGTTGCTCCCAAATGCTTGCGGTTGGACTAGGGCAAAACCAGGCTCCAGGAACTCTGCCCAGGGCTCTCACAGGGGTGGAAGGAATGTCTTACATGTTCAGGAAGTTGAATTGGAAGTGTTCTTATATATGAAAAGCAGACATACCAGAAGTGGCTTATCCCACTGTGTTACAATACCTGCTCCATATATCCTTATTTTTAAGAGAAACAAAGGTATTTCCCTTTGCTTTTGTTCTCTGATCTCATTTTGTTTCTCCCCAAGAGGTCAACACTGTTGTAAACTTGAAGATTATTTCTATGAATGTGTTTATATTGTTCCTACATAGTATTTAACAGTTAGAAATATAGACAGTGACAGATATTTTGCGATTTCATAAGTGATTCTGTATTATATGCATATATAAAACCTCTTTAAAATCAGCTTCATTTGAAAGAGACAGAGAGGTAGATACCCAAGCATCTTTAGTCATTCTTTCACTCCCCAAATGCTCACAAGTCAGGGTTAGGCCGTTCGAGAGCTAGCAGAGCTGGGAGTCGGGGATCAGTCCTGGTCTCCCTCATGGATGGCAGGAACCACAAGTACCTGCACCATCATCTGTTGCCCCCCAAGCTGTATTTAGTAGAAATCTGGATAAGAAACAGTAGGGCCCAGCACAGTGGCCTAGTGGTTAAAGTCCTTGAATGTGCTGGGATCGCATACAAGCGCTGCTTCCCATCCAGCTCCCTGTTTGTGGCCTGGGAAGGCAGTCGAGGACGGCCCAAAGTCTCAGGACCCTGCAACTGCATAGGAGACCCGGAAAGAAATTCCTGGCTCCTGGCATCAGATCAGACGAGTTCCAACTGTTGTGGACACTTGGGGAGTGAATCATCGGATGGAAGATCTTCCTCTCTGTCTCTCCTCCTCTCTGTACATCTGCCTTTCCAATAAAATAAATTTTAAAAAAAGGAAAAAGAAATAAAAATACCTTATAAAACTTTTCCTCCCTCAAACTCCTTTTGATTTCAAATCTGCAACCACTGAATAAAAAAATCCTAGAAATTGCATATTTTTTCTATATTATGAGACCATTTTTATGATTTTGATTTCAAAATTACTTGGACCATTTCTACAAATACCTGTGTCTGCTGCCTCTTTATGGGTTTTCTTCAATTTCTATGTTTATTGTTTCCTTTAGTCTTGTGATTATTGCTATTCTTTCTTTGATCTAAAATAAAAAGTTCACATTCTTCTCAAAGATTACCATTTTCTTATATATATATATCTACACATACATATATATTTATATGTGTATATATAGCTGGTTTGTTTGAAAGGCAAAATGACAGCGAGGGGGCAGAGACAGAGACGAGATCATTCATTTGCTGGTTCATTTCCCAAATGACCACAGTGGCTGAACCTAGACGAGGCCTCAGCCAGGGGCCTGGAACTCCATTGGGGTCTCCAATATGGTGGGCAGGATCTCAACTGTGAGTCATTATCTTCTGCTTTTCAGGTACATTAGCAAGGAGCTAGACCAGTACTAGATCAAGTACTTGAACCAGCACTTCAATGCTCATCCCCTAACTTTTTAAGTGGGTTAACTATTCATCCCCTTCAGAAATTTCCTAAAAAATGGTTCTAAGCCTGAGAGTTCTACAATTTAGATCTATATCAATTATTCATCTACAGTGCAAAGATTTCTGAAATTTTTAGGTTTTTCCAATTGTGCTTCCCAGGGATTCTGCATTTTATTCATAAAGGAATCTTGTTTTACTTTATTCATAAAGGAATCTTGTTTTACTTGTGAGGAGTAAATGAGTTAACAAACGTTGGTTATGCAGAACATTGCTTGGCTCATAGTATGCAGTCAAGTGCATCTTTATTGAATATCTGCTATATTTGAAATACTACATAAAATAGTTTACATGCAAATTTTCATTTAATATGTATCAATTTACAACAGACACTTTTTCACTTAATACATTTCTGTGATATGTCTTTTCTTATTCCTATTTTAAGAATTAAAACCCTGAGGTTTAAAAATCAAACAGGTCACATAATGTCATATTGTGGTAGTGATGCCCCAGATCTATGCCCTTAATCCTGGGAAGTTCTTAGTGCCCATAAAATCAGTCTGGAATAAAATAAGGCTGAATGCTTTGCAAAATCCATATAACACAGAGCCTCACAAACAATTTTAAAGGTTGTCAACACTAGTGTAAGAGAAGCAAGTAAAAAAAAAATTAACTGGGAAGAGTGATGTGCGTGTTCTTACACTTTGAAAGATCAACCTGGGTGTGCTATAAGAAATGGATTTAAGGATAGCAAAAATGGACACGGTGATCTTTTAAGAAACTATAAAAATTACCCAGGTGGGAGACTCTTAGACCAGGTTGACAACATTAAAGAGAAAAGTATAAATTCCAAAAAATGCTTAGGGACTAGAGCTACAGAACTTTGTGATTCACTGGATTGGGTGATGAGAGTGAATGTGACTCACCAGTGTGAATTCTCTGATGATGGGCTAGATGTGCATGCTGTCTGAAGGTCTTCTTGCACTCTTTACATTCATAAGGTCTCTCTCCAGTATGAATTCTCTGATGTTGGGCAAGAGATCCACAGTAACTAAAAGCCTTTCCACAAACATTGCATTCATAAGGTTTCTCTCCGGTATGAACTCTCTGATGTTGAGTAAGGGATGAGTCATTGCTAAAAGCCTTCCCACATTTTATACATTCATAAGGTTTCTCGCCAGTATGAACTCTTTGATGTTGAGCAAGATAGGCAATCTGGCTGAATGCTTTCCTACATTCCTGACATTTGTAAGGTTTTTCTCCAGTATGAATTCTTTGATGTTGAGCGAGGTGTGAATTCTGGCTGAAGGTTTTACCACACTCCTTACATTCATAGGGTCTCTCTCCAGTATGAATTCTCTGATGGACAGTAAGATATGCGCGAAGACTAAATGCTTTCCCACAGACATTACATTCATAAGGTTTCTCGCCAGTATGAACTCGCTGGTGTTGAGCAATGGAAGATCTATTGCTAAATGCTTTCCCACATTCAATACATTCATAGGGTTTCTCTCCGGTGTGAACTCTCTGATGCTGAGCTAGGTAGGCAAACTGGCTAAAGGCTTTCCTACATACCTTACACTCGTATGGTTTTTCTCCAGTATGAACTCTCAGGTGTTGAACTAGGTGTGCATTCTGACTGAAGGCTTTCCTACATTCCTTACATTCATAGGGTTTCTCTCCAGTGTGAATCCTGTGATGCTGAACAAGATTTGATCTCTGACTGAAGGCTTTCCCACATTCTAAACATTTATAAGGTTTTTCTCCAGTATGAATTCTTTGATGAAGAGTGAGGGATGAGCTCTGGCTGAAGACTTTTTCACAGTCATTACACTTCAAAAGTTTCTTCTCAGCATAAACAGGCTTGGGCTTAATGGTCGCTACATTTTTTTTAAAGTTTTTCCTATGTATCTTATACTTATGTATTTTTTCTTCTTTGGGGCTTATCTGGTGTGTATGAAGTATTGCCTTTTGACGGAAACTTTCCCAAGATATTTTATACTCCTGTCTTTGATCAACAAGACCTTCTCCATAAGTGATTGTCTCTTCCTTTAAATGTGCCTTTGGATTTCCTGATTGCCTCTCAAAATGGTCCTCATGTTTCAATTCTCTCAAACTGTAGTACTCAAAGCCAAAGCTTGTCATTTTCTCTGTTATCTTCTTGTAGTACTGTTCATCCAAAAGGTCCTGCTTTTGGGTTAATTCATCAGCCTCACACACAGATTCCCAGCCTGAAAAGTAATAATAAGAAAAGGTCTCCTCTGTTGTATATAACACATTTATTAAACCACATTTGTAAAGTGAAGTATGTGACTTTGTTTCAGTATGAGAATTTATTAGAAAAAAACTCTAATAAAAACAATGGGTGTTTGTAGTTCTGAATGTGCTAAAACAAAAATTTAAAGTAGGTCATACAAAAAGTTGAGGAGAAATGATTATAATTACGAGAAAATCAGTAATGGAAATATCAGGTCAAGAAGAAAATATCTATGTGATTAGGCTTGGCTACATTTTGGCTGTATTAACTATATACATACTGAAATGCCTGCGTTCTTCTAGCTACTTCACTCAATAACAATCCCTGAACAAATATCTTCCATGTATTAGTCACTGCTCTATTTGCTTCCAATATCCTAAAACAAAGACTCTTACCTCCAGGGAACTTATTTTCCTTAGAAAAGACCAAATAATAAATAAATTTTATTATATGCTAGCAATTACTAAGTGTTACAAAAAAGAAAAGCAAGGCAAGTGAGATCAGGAGTGTTAGTGACATCCAAGATAAAAATCATTAATGAGTTCATATTTAACTGAAGATTTGAAGAAAGTGTCGTAGCTTTCTGGGGAGAGGGCATCTCTCTCTGAACAGGAGAGTTGGTTTAAAGGTCTAAAAGTAGGAGCCATGTCAGGTGTTCAAGGAACAATAAAGAACAGCATGGCTGGAGAGCACGGAGTGGCAGGAGATGAAGACAGCTAGTAGAGGTTTACAGCAGTTAAAATTATGTGTGGGTCCTATAAGTAATTTCACTTTTACTCTGGGTAGGACAGAAAACTACTGAAGTGTTCTGAGAAGAGATACCTGGGTGAAAATATAGAAGGTGAAAGCAAGCAGGAGACCTGCTAGGGAGACCTGTTATGACAGTAATCCAGCTGAGACATAACAGTGGTTTAGATCAGGGAGATACCGACGGAGGTACGGAGGAGTGCTCTAGTCCAAGGTGGAACTTACAGCTTAGACCCAAGACAGATGGAATATTAAAGAAGAGATGAAGCAACTGTGCTTTCAAAGTTTATGTTCTGAGCAATACCCATCAACAGTTGAGAGGGAACACCATGGAACAGAACAAAACCCCAGAAAAAAAGCATAAAGAAAATTATATTGACAGTAACCCCCATCAAGGGGGACAGTACCCTAGAAAACCTTGCAAACTTTATAAGTGAGCAAAAACTTTTAAATTCTAATGAAGATTCCCCCAAAAACATATGATTAAAGCATAAAGTTGCACATCGGATTTTTGTACATATTCAATGATATAAAGAGGCTAATTTTTTATTAAATTCATCTACAATTGCCACTCCGTCACAATTTTAGTTTCATAACTTTTTAAAAAAAGATTTATTTCTTTTTATTGGAAAAGGCAGATATACAGAGAGAAAAGACCAAGAGGAAGATCTTCCATCTGATGATTCACTCCCTAAGCAGACACAATGGCTGGAGCTGAACCAATCTGAAGCTAGGAGCCAGGAGCCTCTTCCAGGTCTCCCAAACAGATCCAGGGTCCAAAATGTGGGCCTTCCTCAACTGCTTTCTCAAGCTACTAGCAGAGAGCTGGGAAGCAGGGCCAACGGGATTAGAACCAGCGCCCTTATGGGATCTGGGCACATTCAAGGTGAGGACCTCAGTGGTTACACCATCATGCCGGGTCCTCATAACTTTTCTTTTTTAAAGATTTATTTATTTTTATTGCAAAGTCAGATATACAGAGAGGAGGAGAGACAGAGAGGAAGATCTTCCATCCGATGATTCACTCCCCAAGAAACCACAATGGCCGGTGCTGCATCAATCCGAAGCCAGGAGTCAGGAACTCTTCCAGGTCTCCCACGTGGGTGCAGGGTCCCAAGGTGTTGGGCCGTCCTTGACTGCTTTCCCAGACCACAAGCAGGGAGCTGGATGGGAAGTGGAGCTGCTGTGATTAGAACTGGTGCCCATCTGCGATCCCGGGAGCATTCAAGGTAAGGACTTTAGCCACTAGGCCATGGTACCAGGCCCATAACTTTTTTTTTTAAAGATTTATTTCATTTTATTGGAAAGTCAGATATACAGAGAGGAGGAGACACAACTGAAGATCTTCCATCCGATGATTCACTCCCCAAAGGGCCACAACGACCAGAGCTACAATGATCCAAAGCCAGGAGCATAGAGCCTCTTTCATGTCTTCCACAAGGGTGTAGGGTTCCAAGGCTGTCCTCAACTGCTCTCTCAGGCCACACACAATGAGCTGGATGGGAAGTGGGGCCACTGGGATTAGAACCGGTGCCCATATGGGACCCTGGCACGTGTAAAGCGAGGACTTTTAGCTGCTAGGCTAATGTGCCAGGTTCATGTTTCATAACTTTTAAAAGAACTACGTAAGAATTAGGCAGCTGTTGGCCCTAGCTCCCAAGAAGGAACCTTTATACACAGACCATATCCAGTAACTTATGAATGGGGTGCCTAACGATAGGTCCCTAAATAGTTTTTGCTAATGATATGACCGAGGCAAGCTAGGAAGGACCAACCACATGACCGAGGCAAGCTAGGAAGGACCAACCACATGACCGAGGCAAGCTAGGAAGGACCAACCACATGACCGAGGCAAGCTAGGAAGGACCAACCACATGACCGAGGCAAGCTAGGAAGGACCAACCACATGACCGAGGCAAGCTAGGAAGGACCAACCACATGACCGAGGCAAGCTAGGAAGGACCAACCACATGACCGAGGCAAGCTAGGAAGGACCAACCACATGACCGAGGCAAGCTAGGAAGGACCAACCACATGACCGAGGCAAGCTAGGAAGGACCAACCACATGACCGAGACAAGCTAGGAAGGACCAACCACATGATGACAGGGTTCTGTGTTTGAGCCTTAATGCTAACAGAGTGGTGCCTGAGAAGGGAAGAAGTACAAGAAGGAACTGACCATCACTGCATAGAGGAACCTCAACAAAACCTCTGGGCACTGAAGTTCAGGAGAAAGACCCTGCATGCATATTTCTTCAGGTGCTAATAATTCTTTATGCGTTCTGATGACTGGAAGGCCCTGAGGATAACAAGCTCCAGGGCTGTGATCCTCCCAAACTTAGCCTTGGTCTCTCTTTTTATATGGTTTTGATTTGTAACCTTTTGCTATACAAAATACGATAAATGTAATACAGCTATTGCTTGAGTTCTAGAAGCCTGTCATTCTAGGGAATCATCAAAGCTAAAGGTTCGGAGAAGTGAGGAGCAGCCTGTGGGCCACCAGATCTGTGGCCGATGTCTCAAGAAAGTGATTTGTTGAGCACTGTTCTCTCAAACTCAACAATTTGCCAAACTCATTGCAAGTTATTTTTTTAAGTCCTGAAGTGTATTAAAAATAGATGTTTCCATATATATTTTTTAGGCCATACAACAAGACTTTTTTTTCAAGCCGCACAAACAAATCATTAAAGCTTAAGAAATTTGAGGGCTCGGCACAGTGACCTATTCAGTGGGAGCCAGGAAAACTGTTGCTTTAACCGTTGCCTTCTATCTCCCAGGGGACAGCAAGCTTGAAGTGAAAGCAGAGTCAAGACTTAACTCGGACATTGCAGTTCAGAACACAAGCATCTTAATGGGGTATCCCAACTTCTCATCAAAACATGCCCAGCCCCTACCAACTTGAGACACAAACACACAGGGCCAGTTTCATCCAATATATTTACATGCTTGCATGAAAACTATTAAATACTTAGGGATAACATGACATGACTGACAGAAATAGCAAAGTTAGACACATCCGTCCCGACTTGACCTCACACACTCCAATATGGGATGTAGGCAGCGTAACCCCATGTCCTAATCTCTAGACCAAATTTCGGCCCGTATCGACTTTATACCAGAGAAAATGATGAAAAATTTAATTCAATAAATTTGAATACTCAATGAAAATAATGAAATCTTTATTTTCCACATTATTTGAAAAGCAAAAGAAGAGCTATCTTCCATCTGCTGGTCTACTCCCCATTTTTTAATCGCTTCAGCCTAAATCCAGGAGCCTAGAATTCATACTGTTTCTCTTCTGCGGGTGGCAGACTCAAGTACGTAACTCATATCTTAGTAACTGCCAGGGTAGGCATCAGGAGGAACCTGAAACCAGAGGGAAAGCCAGGATTCACACCAGGCACACGGATACGGGATGCAGGCATTGCAGGCACCCCCATAGCCACAGTGCAAAAAGCTGCCGCAAGAAGTATAAATTCTCAGAAAACATGCCATACTGACTACCGAGGAAATACAAAACCCAGGATCTTGTAGCACAGCTTTTTTTTTTTTTTTCACAAAGACTAGACTAAGATAATCAAAGCTCTACTAAAAGTGAGAACAAGTAATTTGGGAGCCGGTGCAGTGGGTTAAGCCCTCGCCTTGAATACACTGGGATCGCACATGGGCGCCGGTTCTAATCCCAGCTGCTCCACTTGCCATCCAGGTCCCTGCCTGAGTCCTGGGAGATGGCCCAAAGCCTTGGGACCCTGTGCCAGTATGGGAGACTCAGGAGAAGCTCCTGGCTCCTGACTTTGTATCAGCTCAGCTCCGGCCATTGCGACTGCTTGGAAAGTGAACTAGCAGACAGAAGATCTTCCTCTCTCTATCTCCTTCTCTCTGTATATCTGCCTTTCCAAATAATAAATGAATAAATCTTAAAAAAAAAAAGTAATTTTGATTTTCCACAAATTCTACTAAACAAGAAAAAGGAATACTTATATAATAATACAACTTTGATTCCAACATCTGATAAAAAGTAGCTTAAGGGAAAATTGAAGACTTGTCTCAATAATACAAGTAGAAAACATCTAAACAAAATATGTGCTAATAATAACTACAATAAATGGAAAAAATATATAAATACGGGTTGATCTCAGAAGTGTAACACTAGAGATAATAATAATCTTCAGTATTAAAAATATAATATGTGGGCCTGGCGCAGTAGGCTAGTAGCTAAAGTCCTTGCCTTGAATATGCCGTGATCCCAAATGGGTGCCATTTCGTATCCAGGCTGCTCCACTTCCCATCCAGCTCCCTGCTTGCTGCCTGGGAAAGCAGCAGAGGACGGCCCAGAGCCTTGAGACCCTGCACCTGCACGGGAGACCATGAAGAAGTAGCTCGTGGGTTCAGATCGGCTCAGCTCCATCCTTTGCGGTCACGTGGGGAGTGAACAAGTGGATGAAAGATCTTTCTGTCTTTCCTTCTCTCTGTAGCTCTGACTTTCCGATAAATAAGTAAATAAATATGTATGCTTGTATGTGTATATATATAAAACATGATACTCCACACACCAACAGAAGAAAGACCATTTACTCCTCTCAAAATGCAAGAAAACAGTAAAATTCAAAATCTTCCTATGATCAAAACTCTAGCAAACAGGAATGCAGGATGGTTACCAAAAAGTTCTAGACATCAAAAATATTAATAGTAAAATGGTAAAGTGCTCTCCTAGAGACCAAAATTGGACACAAAAACTTGCTATCATTACTTTAATTTGTACGATATTTGAGATACAAGAAAGGACAATAGAAAAAAGAAATTGACGAATTTTAAATGAAGGGACTTGTACACTCCTGGATAGGCTGCTCATAGAGGAAATTAAGAGAGTTGTAAAAATTATTTGCAAAGAGATAGACAAGGCTGCTAGACATAAGGTCAATATATAAAATTTGCTTACTTTCTATATACTGAGCAAATAAAAAACATAAGCAACAGTAAATAAAACAGCAAAACAGCAAAATGAAAATGGCTTGGAATTAATTTAACAGAAAACATGCATGACCTTTATGGAAAAAATTTGAAAATACTCAAAGAAATGAAAAAAATCTAAATAACTGGAGAATTATATCATGCTTAAAAATAGAAAAATTCCAAAATTAATTGTATTATAAAAAAGGTTGAATCAAAAGTCAACAGCTTTTTGTTTCCCAATGAAAACTGACATCTTGCCACCTACAGTTTATACAGATACTCAAAAGGCACACAAGAAAGTCTTAATGACATAAACCAAGTGCAGGGATTTCCTTATTTTTATTAAGATAATGTGGTACTAGAATAAGGAAATAGAAATCAGTGGAATGGATTGAAATAAAGATCAAAAACAGACATATAGACAGACTAAAATTTGATATATGAACAAGTAATATTAAAAACAATAGGTGAGGGGCCTGGCGCGGTAGCCTAAGTGGCTAAAGTCCTCACCTTGCAAGTTCTGGCATCCTATATGAGCACTTGTTTGTGTCCTGGCCACTCTACTTTCCATCCAACTCCCTTCCTGTAGCCTGGGGTAGCAGTAGAGGATGGCCCAACGCCTTGGGACCCTGCACCCGCATGGGAGACCTGGAGAAAGCTCCAGGCTCCTGGCTTCGGATTGGCTCAGCTCTGGCTGTTGCAGCTGCTTGGGGAGTAAAGCAGCAGATGGAAGATCTTTGTCTCTCATCTCTGTATATCTGCCTTTCCAACAAAATTAAAATAAATCTTAAAAAAGAAAACGTGAAACAAAGTAATTTAATCAAGAAATACCTTTGACATTTTGTCTTTCCCTAAAGCACAAACTAAATTCTTACATAAAATAATCTTCAAAAATCAATTCTAATTGGATTAAGGATCCAAATACAGAAGGGAAATATTTAGAAGACTTTACATCTTTTTGATCTCAAGGTTTTTCAAAATATCAAAAATATAAATTAAAAAATACCCGGCGCGGTGGCACAAGTGGTTAAGGTCCTCGCCTTGCACGCCCGGGATCCCATATGGGCGCCGGTTCTAATCCCAGCAGCCCCGCTTCCCTTCCAGCTCCCTGCCTGTGGCCCGGGAAAGCAGTCGAGGACGGCCCAAAGCCTTGGGACCCTGCACCCGCGTGGGAGACCCGCAAGAGGCTCCTGGCTTTGGATCGGCATAGCATAGGCCGTTGCGCTCACTTGGGGAGTGAATCATCGGATGGAAGATCTTCCTCTCTGTCTCTCCTCTCTGTATATCTGCCTTTCCAATAAAAAAATAATAAAAAAATAAATCTTTAAAAAAAATTAAATAAATAAATTTAAAAATACATATATAAGACAACTTGCCCTCAAATGAGAAAGACTTGAGCAAGTATGTCTTTGCAAAAAGAAAGACCACCAATGGTCACTATAAATATGAAAAGGTGTTCAATCTCTACAGTCATCAAAAAGATTCAGATAATGAGGAACATGCGTAGGATATTTCTTACCACCAGGCTGACAAAAATACTTGATAACTTTTTGATTCCATGTGTGGAGGAATGTGGACCCTCACATACAGTGGTCAGAAATATAAATCAGTCCAGACACTTTGGAAGCTAAGATAATCTTATCTAGTAAATACCTTGGTAATTTTCCTGTGTGAATCCTGGCATATGTGAACCGACATTAATCTATAATCAGTGTCAGAGGGGAAAGGGATGAGGTCTAACAGGTTATGCCACCACTCGGGAAGCCAGCATCCCATATCAGAGTGCCTAGAGTGAGTCCCACCTCCATGCTTCCAGTCCAGCTTCACGCTAACACACCTGGGAGGCAACAGTCGACGGCCCAAGGGTTTGGGTTCCTGCCACTCTGCCCAAGCAGGGGATCTTTCTTCAGGCTGGCCCACGCGTGGTTATTGCTGGCATCTGGGGAGTCAACAACTGAAGAAGATCTCTCTGTCTTTAACATGGTGTCTTTCCTTGACTTTATTACTCTTTCAAAAAAAATAATAAAGCACGGCAGCCTAGTGGCTAAAGTCTTCGCCTTGCATGTACCAGGATCCCATATCAGTACCAGTTCACAGCCTAGCTGTTCCACTTCCCATCCAGCTCTGCCTGTGGCCTGGGAAAGCAGCTGAGAATGGCCCAAAGCCTTGGGACCCTGCACCCACATGGGAGACCTGAGGAAGTACCTCGCTCCTGGCTTCAGACTGGCTCAGCTCTGGCCATTGCAGCCACCAGGGGAGTGAATCAATGAACCAAAGATCTTTCTCTCTGTCTTTCCTCTCTCTAAATGTGACATTCCAATAAAAATGAATAAAGCTTTGTAAAAAAAAAAATTAAACAAAGAAAAGCCACGGCATAGGGGAAAATCGTTAAGATTCATAACAGTAATAGTTATAACTGCATAAAACTTAATTCAAATGGCCACCAGAGGATATACTGAAGTTTATACCCGGAAAATATTATACTTCACCAATGAACTAGTACAAACATCCATGAACCAGAGCCACAAAAAAGTCAACATCAAGGAAAAATCACAAATGTAATTCTGAGTTGAAAGAAAGTCACAGAATTAAATGCATACCATATTTTCATACACAGAAAATTGAGGGTATATTGCACAGACAAATACAAGCTAAGATATGGATTAAATTGCTTAAAACATGGAAGTATAAACTCATTTTACACTGACAAAACAGAAGTACAGAGTTCAGTAACTCTGCTCAAATTTATGGCATGTAACTACCAGACAAGATATGAACCTGGTACTTCATTTACAGTTGCGTCTAGTGCTCAAAAGTTTATCATACTAGGAAAAAGATTTTTACAATTGGAAGAGGCTTATGAAGTGTAGAAGAAATGCGACCCAGAGAATAAATGAAATATTAGAATGGAGAGGGAAAATTTAAAAGAGAGATGATTAAAACTAACAGGGAGCGGCTCATGCCGAGACATAGTAGGCTAAGCCTCTGCCTAAGGTGCCTGCATCCCATATGGTCATTGCTTTTAGTTCCATCCGCTTCACTTCTGATCCAGGGCCCTGCTTATGTGCCTGGGGAAGCAGTGGGGGATGGCCCAAGTCCTTGATCTCCTGAACCCACTTGGGATGCCTGAAAAAAAGCACCTGACTCCTGGTGGGCCCAGCTCTGGCCACTGTGGCCATTTGAGGAGTAAACCAGCAGACGTAAAACTTCTCTCTCCCTCTATCTCTCCTTCCCTCTGTAAATTTGCCTTTGAAATAAAAATAAACAAATAAAAGAGGGGGAAAAACTCCTAAAAGGTAGAACTATTCTTAAAGCCTGGACTATTTGAGCAGAATTTCCAATAAATTAGAGTGAAGAGGCAATATCTTTGAGTCAAGCTGAGCTGTCACCTGCAGACGTTTTTGCCTGCCTAGGTCCTCTTCACTCACCTGGGCACGAGCCTTTTGTCAGCTCTCTCTTCACCATCCAGGGCTCTTTTCCTTGTTCCAACAATAATATCACACTTGGCTTAGAAAAGCAAAGTCCTGCACATATGAAAAGAAACAGAATTTGATCATGCTATGGATATCCTAGCACTCACATCCAATCTTTTGGACATCAGAGAAGAGGCAGCTTACAGAAAGTCAAAGGAAAAATACGTAAGGGATTAGAAAGATATGAAAGCTAAAGCTTCAGGCATAGTTGAACATCACCCTGTCCATGGCCAGAATTAACAAACCATCTACAGACGGCACACGTACACCAAGACAATATAGACACCATCCAGAAAGTCATAGGAAGTGTAACAAGGAATCGCTTACGAGAGAAATTCAGTTTTGTGTTGGGAATATATCCTTACCCAGTGATACCAAGATACTGTAGTTCTCCAGCATCACATTACTGTATAAATGCCTTTGAGAAGAATCTAGACAATTCCACTCCTCTTGGGAAAAGTCTACAGCCACATCTCTGAAGGTCACCAACTCCTGAAACAAAAAGAAACAAAATAACTTCATTTCTTACCATAGTCTCCTCACTTAACACTACACTGGATTCTCCCTAGTGTTAAAATAGTGGATGGGTCAATCATTTTCCTGTTCAGCGTCTTTGGACTTCTCAGATCACATATAAAAATAGCAGTGCTCTGCCTCATTTCACTAGTCCTCTAATGCTTTTTGTTTGTTTGTTTGTTTCCCTCCACAACATTTGATTAGTTTCCTTATTTATTGTCTGGTTTCCACCACCGCCAGTGAAAACGTAGGATTCATAAGGACAGAATGCTACAGCTAGTCTGTAAAAAATAAATAAATAACACCATATCTTCATGAGAAACAGCAGGACAGACTGTGATCCAGATTTTGAGTTCACAGGATACTGGTGCTGGAGACCAAGGCCAACTCCATGGACAACAGTCTACTGGTATGCAAAAGCCCAAGACCAAGGTCATAGCCTGTGGGAGACAGTTTGCAGTTAGCAAACAGCCCAAGGCCACAGAAATCCAGGCTTTAAGATATCCTGGACCGGTGGCTGATGGCCTAGCAGTTAAAGTCCTTGCTTTGAATATGCCAGGATCCCCTATGGACACCGGTTCTAATCCCAGCAGCTCCATTTCCCATCCAGTTCCCTGCTTGTGCCCTGGGAAAGCAGTGGAGGACGGCCCAAAGCCTTGGGAACCTGCACCCGCATGGGAGACCTGGAGGAAGTTCCTGGCTCCTGGCTTCGGATTGGCGTAGCACAGGCTGTTGCAGTCACCTGGGGAGTGAATCATCGGATGGAAGATCTTCCTCTCTGTCTCTCCTCCTCTCTGTATATTTGACTTTGCAATAAAAATAAATAAATCTTTCAGTCATGTACTGACTTCCATACTTGCACCACAGTGTTGTTTCCTGATCGCCAATCATTGATTGGTTAACATCAATACGAGATGTAGCTATTAAAGTCTGTACCATATCAATTCTAGTAATCTGACCCCTCTAGCAGTTCAATCAAAGATTGGGGCAGCCAGCAAGCTTTCTAGGTAGACCTCCTTCCTCAGAGAAGGAGGCTTGCTTCTGGCTGCCTGCTTCATCTTGTGTCTGTCTCATTTTTTATTTTTTCAATTGCATGTCATCTCCCTCTCCAACCCTAGTTAAGCTGTGCAGATTGCAGTCCAGTCTATATTTTTTGCTTTGGTCCCTGCTATGTTACCCAATTAAATAGTATCTAGCACGACCAAGTATCTAAATATTCTTTGATTAAATTGAAGTATTGCATGAATAATTTGAAAATTCGAAGAAATCATTTATATAGGGATCAATATTACACAGCACCCCTCTTAGAAGAATAAGCAATATAAAGAAGTGTATCAGGATTATCAGCCCCCTGACAGATGTTACAAACAATAACCCCTTAATAATTCTAAGTGCCCTTCCCCCATCAATACCAGAAATTAGTTATTAAATCTGAATACTGTGCTAAACTACGCAGAGCAAATCCTCAACTCCATTAAAAATCAGAAATTTTAACACAGAATTCGTAAAGTTTCTTGTAGAGGACCAGTATTATGGCATAGTGGGTAAATATGCCACTTGTGGTGTCAGTGTCCTGTACCAGCGTCAGTTTGAAAATGGGCTGTCCCATCTCTGAGTCAGCTCCCTGCTCATGTGCCTGGGAGGATAGCAGAGAATGGCCCAGCAACTTGGGCTCCTGCTGCCACAAGGGGGAGCCAAAGGAAACTCCTCACTTGCGCTATTGAACAGCCCAGCCCCAGCCACTGTGATTATTTGCAGAATGAACCAGATGATGGATGGTCTATTGATCTAACTCAGCCTTTCAAATATATAAATAAAATCTTAAATCTTTTTGTTTGTTAAGAATCATAACACTGCATCTGTAGGGATGTGCAATTTTTTTCTTTTATTTATTTTCTTAATAATCTTACTTAGTTGATTAGGATACAAAGGGTGAAGGGTTACAGGATGAAATTGGGTAATACCATTGTTTCCACATTAATATCATTTTTTTCCCTGTATCTAGGGTCAGGGGAGAAACAAAGGGAAAAGCCCCATCCAACCTTCCACCCATCCCCGATCCCCAATGTGAGGCGCGCCCCGAGGGTCCTGCTCAAGCAGTTTTGATAGTTCAACAGTTCTGGATTGCTGCCAATCTCGCTGTTCCAATCGCGATGAAACCTATTCAGAATCCACTGGATGACATAGTCTCTTCATGGTTGGGGTCTGAGATCAGCAGTTCAGTTGGAGAGATCTCCAAAGAAACTTCATCTGAGATGATCCCAAACCTGATTCTTGAGTGAGCTTGCCAGTACAGGGTCCGACACCGTCCATCGCCCCAATCAGCTTATGCACATGCTGGTCGTTGCTATTGCTGGGTCAGTTCTGTTTCCAGCCCTGTCTTCCACTTGAACCAACGGGTGTTGTAGTCCAGCTCGATCCTACCCACTTCATACTCGGTTCTCACACAAACAGTGGGAGCTGCAGCCTAGTTGGGGTGACTCCCCATAACACTCACCAGTTTTGCACCCTACCCTGGTTGCCATGCTTGCCAGTATGTACCGCAGACTTGCTCAGTCTGTCTCACGTCCCATTTAGCTCTTGTGCATGTCAATGGGCACTGG